AAGATGTTGACATTAGGGAAAACTGGGCGAGGGCTATATGGGAACTGCTTTGAATATTTTTGCAACTTTTCTGTAAATCTAAAATTATCCTGAAATCTATATACCTTTAAAACGATTATGACTAAATCTCTAACTTTCCTTCATACTTGTGGTGGTGTAAAAAGGCATATGCATTCATTTATTTATCATGCTTTTTTGGGGGGGGGTCAGGGTCTTGCTATGTAGCCCAGGCTTTTGATATTCCTACCTCCACTTCTTGAGTGCTGGGATTACAGATGTGAACCATCCTGCCTGGCTTTTGTTTTGGAAAACTCCCTTTAGGATTGAGTGGTTCTACTCATGGGTATCTATCCAAGAGAAACCAGGGCAGTTTTTTTGGTAGTCTAGACCTAGAAACACTATTAATCTATTAGCTAGAACTCAGGTAAATATTGATCCATTGAACAATATGACAATATTAATTAATTACACAGACATGTTGTGTTAAAGAAACCAAACATGTGTACATGCTGTGAGTCCATTTACGTGATGCTATGGTTAGGACAAGTTGTCCTGAAAGTTCCATGTTTTAAAGATTGGTCCCTGGGGTGGTGGCATGAGGAAGTGCTGTGTGGACCTTTAGGAGTGTGGCCTTAGGGGAAATCCTTAGGTCTTTGGGGGTGTGTCCTCAAAGGAGTTGTGAGCGCCTGTCTGGTTCTCTTTGTTTCCTCTTGGCTGAGTGGCTTGTTCTGCCCTCTCCTGGCAGGACGAGCTGCCCTTGCCCTTGCTTGAAGTCCAAAGTGAGAGGGGGGGCCATTTGATATTACACTGGAACCTCCAAAAGTGTTATAGACGTGTGGCACCATGCCCATTATAAGCGTCCAATTGAGCATATCCACATTTGCTCACCATACCCACTTCCAGAGTTCTTTCGTCATCCCAACCAGGAACGTGGTGGTCCCCATTGCACACTGACTCCCCTCGCCCTATGGAGGTCCATTACCTCCATTCTGCTTTCTGTCTGTATGAGTTTCCCTAATTTACTTACTTCCTATGCTTTTCACTTGTGTTTTATGGAAAAAAAAAGTGAATAAACACTCCTTGAGAAATTTGGCTGTGAATACAGGATAGGTAGTAGCTGCAGCAATGGTGATTTTTTTTTTTTTTTGCAATGTAGGGAATTGAACCCAGAGCCTTGTGCCTGCTAGGCACATGCTGAACCACTAAGTCACACTCCTAACCCCGACTTCATAGGAGGTTTTTTTTTGTTTTGTTTTTAAACAACCTGAGTCAAAGGTGAAAGTTCCTAGTTCAGAGAGAAGTGACATACTTGCAGAGGAAGGGTGAAATCAAGGCACTATGGGTTTATTTTTTTGGGGGTGGGGAGGGTGAGGTGGAGTTGCTGGAGTAAAAGTTGGGGGTAAGATTACAAAGGAAATCAATCTTTTTGCCAAGATTATGTTTTGAACTGCAATAGTACCACCACCAGGATTTGAGGTCTTTGCCAGGCATTGGTTAGGTGCTTATAACCCCACGAGACAGGTGTCATCTCCATGGGTAGCCTGGAATTCCAACCCAGATCCACCTGGCTGGGGATGGGATGCAAGGTCAGTTTCAAGAACATCCTAATTTTTGTAACTAGTTCTTATTCACCCTTGCTCAAAACCTCTACATAATGATTCCCTGACTCCTCCCCAGGCCATCAATTAATTTCTGCAGTTTGTGTTCACAACTTTTACACCTCTGCTATTACTGCCTTAACACACTTGATCCCTGTATGATGTTTTCTTGATGTCCTGAGCCCTTCTCCCTCTCTCTCAGTACTGGGATTTGAACTCAGGAAAGGCACTCTACCACCTAAACCACTAAACGAGCCCAAATACTATTTTCTTCTTTTTGGTGGAAGTGAGGTACACGACCTCAGGGCCTTGCAGTTGCTAGGCAAGTTCTCTACCACTTGAGTCATGCCACCTGTTTATAAAAATATATTTTGGGGTGGGGGCAGGGGAGAGAAATGACCCAAGCCTTGTATGCACATATGAATAATAAAATTAAAAAAATATGTATATATTTTGAATTATTTTTGGTGAGACTTAGGTTTGAGCTCAGGGTTTCAGGCTCGCCAGGCATGTGTTCTATGGCTTGTAGTTCTAATCTTTTTAACTTATTGGCATATAATAGTTGTGTGGGGGGAGTCATTGTGACATTTACATATGTGCTTATTATTTAATTTTTTTTTTGTGGGATGAGGGTTTGAACTCAGAGCTTCACACTTGCAGTGTAGGCGCTCTACCACTTTAGCCGTTCCTCCAGTCCATTTTGCTCTCTGGTTATTTGGAGATGGGGTCTCATGAACTATTTGCCCAGGCTGGCCTCTTACCTGTGATCCTTTGGATCTCAGCCTCCCAAGTAGCCAGGATTACAGGCGTGAGCTCCCAGTGCCTGGCCTTAAAATACAGCTTATTAGATTCACCTCCTCCTCCATCATTCTTCTTACCCCCTTCTTAGAACAATTTTAACAGATTTCATTGTTCTATTTTTATACACATATACAAAATACATCCACCATATTTGCCCGACTTCACTCTCTCCCCTTCCACTGATACTGGGATAGGACCTGTTCTTCACATTTTAAGTGGATATAGATTGTTCAAGGGGGTCTTACCTTGGTATTTCACACATGTGTAGATCATACTCTAATCAGATTAACCCCCTCTTACTTTGTCACCCTGGTCACCTATTATCCAACAGTTTACAGTTCACACGTTTACAGATGCAATATGTTTTGATATTATCCTTTTCCCCCTCCACCTCCCGAGTCCCCTCAGACATCTCCAGTATGACAGTCATATTCTATCTGTCATCTATCTCTCTATCTGTACATTTAGCTTATAGGTCTAGCTTCCACATGAGAGAAAACATGCGACCTTTGTCCTTCTGAGCCTGGCGTTCTTCACGGAACATGATGATCCCCAGTTCCAAGCATCTACCTGCAAACAATATAATTTCATCCTTCTTTATGGCTGAACAACACTACCCCACATTTTCTTAGTCCATTTTTAGTTGTAGGGCACCTGGGCTGTTTCCAGAGCATGGTTATTGTGAAGTGTGTAGTTTATTCTCTTAATCCTGCCATCATGCCATGTACCTTTAACACCAACGCCATGTTCTTATCTCTACTCAGTGCTCAACATCTCATTGGTAATTGTAGCTATTTTTAAATGAAAAACTTTCCTTAGATTTGTGTGCATTACTTTTTTAACCCCCTACTGTTATAGCTTGGCTCTAACCACTTAACCACATAGAACTGCTAGGTGTGTCTTTTGGTGTCAGTCAGAGACATGAAAGGCACCACGAAGTTTTGAAACTTCTGCCTCAATGATAAGAATCCTTGTTAGTCTGCAAGGATTTTCAAAACTCCTAATAGAATCACATAGCTTCCCTTCCCTTAATTCCTGGCTCACATCCTTTTCTGACACTTGCTTGTTGTTTGACCCTGGGCGGCTAATTTCTCTAAGCCTACTTCCCTAGTCGTAGAAAGCAGCACCAGCACTCACCTTGTGAGGTGCGCTGTATTTACAGAGCGAGTGCACACAAGTACCTCTCACAGCATGCTGGAAGTGTGCAACTAAGTGGCAAACATAATCCCCTCTGATTTAGCAACCTCTGAACAAGACATTGTTTTTGCCTAAGACTCCTCTGGATGTCCCCTCAACTTCCTAGCTAGTCTCCAAATGCTACCTCCTCCCCAGTCCACCTAACCCACAGTTAACTAGGGTGGGACTCAACTGCATCGCCACACTGGCTCTGCATAAAGCATTGCCTTATTATGCAGCCACTCTATCACCAGCATACTTTTTCCCCAAATAAGGCTGATCAGCCTTGAGGTTACAATATAGTTTCTACAGCAGCTAACGTGTGAGGTACAGATCAGTATCTGCTGAATTTATGTAATAAATTCAGGCTCCAGATTCGATTAAGCACCCAGAATGCCTCCATGTGTATAGGTCAAGGAGGGACCAAAAGGAAAGAGGGCACGAATGCTGACCAGCAGTACTAAGTACAGCCTGGGGGCCTAGAACCTTTTTTTGGCGGTACTGGGGTTTGAACTCAGGGTCTCAGCTTGCTAGGCAGGTGCTCTAGCATTTAAGCCACACTCCAATTCAAGGACAAGAACCTTTTGAAACCGGGCCAGGAGCAAATGGGGTCTCTATATTGGGGAAGAAGAGGAAGGACAGGCAAGCAGTAGATTACCTTCTAGGCGTAAGCTAGAGAAAGCTGGCAAGGAGTGTGGATCCAAGTGACTTTCCCACCCTTTCCTTCCAAGAAGGAAGGATTACATTTTTGGCTTTTGCTAGAAATGCCAAAGAAAACTTTTGACATTACTTGAGTAAACAATATTTTAAACTGCACATCCTAAAAATGGGCAGAAGGAAAAATTTAGCTCTTCTCAGTAGTGAAAGATGACTTGGAGTTTTCCTGTTTAAAATATTTGAGCTATGACCAATTATGAGATGGTAAACAGTTTTAGCTATTTGAAACTTGGCTTTACTGGGGGGCTCCACAGGGTTTGGTGAAGAAATCAGGTGTGAAAATAATGGGAAGGGCCACAGCAAAAGTGTGCCTCATTTCACTAAGAAACAAAATATGGCTATGCCTCTGGTAAGCTGAGGGAAGGCTGCCGAAGACTTCAGGCCATGGCTGTAGGATCTATGGCACCAGACCCAGGATTGGCTGTGTCAGGTAAAGAGCAGACACATAGGGAGTCCATAGGCAGTGGTTAGTGAGAGAAGCCTGGTACCTACTGCTGCAAATGGTAGAATATCCAATGTCCCTGGAAGGCAGGGAGCACTAGTCACAGGTCACTTAATGAGTGGAGAAAAATATTCTGGGTGAATCAGAGTATCTTTAACTTCTTATAATTATGTTCAGTTGACATATTTAGCTTAAAAGGCTATTTTCATTCTTTAATGTTACAGTCAGTATTTACGGAAATATTTATTTCAAAAGTAGTACTTAAAAAAAAAAACAAATGTGATTTATATTAAAAGCTCCAAGATGTATTATTTCAGGTAGGTGTTATTACTATCTATACCTTCACCCCATTTATTAAGCCAAAAAACTTCAAGCAACTTCAAGTTCACAAATTTACAATGAAGTACAGAAGTCCAATCAGGATGGGACAAAATGTGTTCCAAGTCAGAAGGGGACAGCATGGCTCTCACTGATGTCTGTGTAGCACCTGTGTCCACTGTCAGTAAGGGTTTCTTCCTGCAAATCTGAGTGGGACCTCCTGGATCCTCTGGCTGTGGCTGGCTTACTCTCCTGATTCCAGTAGTGTGCTGCTGCATTGCCAGGACATCGAGTCAAGCTTCCCAGTCCCCTCTGGTAGGCCAACACGTGAGACTCAGGAGCGCTGACTCATCTGAAGGTGGGAAACTTGCTTAAAGGAGGAAGTCCTTAATCCTACTGCAGAAACTGTTTTCTCACTGGGGATGGTGAATCCTAGCTCCTGGCCTAAAAGATATCCTAACTGGCTTCCTTGGACAGTTCATCCCCACGAGGGAGCCACCTGGCCCCTTGCCTTTTACTACATTTCTAACAGCTGCTCCATTTCCTCCAGGGCTAGTGTAAAATCATTGACTTGACCATTACATAAGGCCTGCTGTTCCAGGAATCGGAGCCTTTCCTCTTCTTTCATCTTCAACTTTACCTTCAAGGCCTTAAGGAAAACACACAAAACTCGAGTCACAGGAAAGACAATAGCCACACCAGAACTTTATATTTCTATTTCACTGAGGAAGGTCACTGGGATACCAACATATACTATTTCTATCTTGGATTTTGTTTATCTGTGTTGATTTTAAGAACTGTTCCTCTGTACTACAAACTCCTATGCCTAAACTGAAGCAATGAAATCCTCTCTGTCCCATGAACACCCAGGATCTACCCAAAAATCTTGATTTCTTACAAGTCTCTTCCTTAAGCTATCAAATTTCCAAGGCATGGATTTTACATAGCTTTCAACTGTCAACTCTGAGCAACCTGTTGTGCTGCCCACTGACTCAAGTCCCTATTAGATGTGTGAATACTTCTGAGCTATACTCTCAGTCCTTAGAAATAGAAAAAGAAAATTTTTGGGAAAAAAACTGAAGTCCAAATGAAGTCTTAGAATTTAGTTAACAATAATATACCACTGTTGTTTTCTTACTTTTGAAAAATGTACAGTGATAGTGTAAGACATTATTATTAAAGGAATTGGATTTTCTATGTTGTCTTTGCAACTTTTCCATAAATCTAAAATTACTTCAAAATATTTTATTAAAAATAGCAAGGTATGGTAGTACACAGCTATAATCCCAGAACTCAGGAGGCTGAGGCAGGAAGATAATAAGTTTAAGGCCAGCCTGGGCTATATAATGAGACTCTGTCTCAAAAAAACAAAAAAAAAAAAACAAAAAACAAATAAAAAATGGCTTATTAAAAAGAAAACAAACACTGGAGAGAAATATTCTTCCATAAATCTATCGACTGTGGTATGAACAACAGTGCTACCTTACAGTGATGTTCGTCCCTCACCTGTAACTCCTCCATTTGCTTTTTGGCAGTTTCATTAAAAAGCTTCAGCTCATCTTGTAAAGTTTCTAACAGCAACTAGGAAGAAAATACAATGTAATAAGCAACCTCCATACTCCACACTCACTGCTGAGCACCAATCGCACACGCAGGCTGTCCAATGGCCCCTTGAACTCAATCCACTCAAGAGCCAGATTTTGTTTATCTGCTGGTTTAGGAAATTTTTTTTCATGTTTACAGACCCCTGCATCTAAACTGGACCAAGGAAATATTCTATGTTCCATGCAATACCCCAGCATTTATCCAAGTAACCTGAAACAGTCCAGGCCCAAGATTCTGGATGTCTTACTACAGGCCTGTTCCTTGAGATGTTGTTTATCTACTACATGTGCTCCGTGCTACCCATGGGAGCTGAGGAAGGATTCAGAGGTGCTTTATGAGTCTAAGAAATCAACTGATCTTTCTGGGGAAGAGTTCATACCAGTTTCAAAGATATTAAGCCCACATGCCTTGTCTTCCTTGTTTAGGGAAGGAAACAAAAAGAAACTGAGAATTCATAACTGAGAGGTTGGAGAACTGCATTACACAGTTCCCAGTAAACGAGTGGGGAGAAATTTGGTAAAGTGTAGATTGAAAAAACAGGAAGTTCTCTATGCAAGTTCACCCTATTATGTGGGGTAAATGAGTGCGGAGAAATTTGGTAAAGTGTAGAATGAAAAAAACAGGAAGTTCTCTATGCAAGTTCACCCTATTACGTGGGGTGTTTTTATTTTTGTTTGCAGTATTGGGCGTGGAATCCAGGCCATCACACATGCTGGGCAAGCACCCTCCCACTGAGCCACACCCTCCTAGCATCTGTTTTAAAAAGTACATTTTCAATCCAGACTCGTCTGTGAGTGCAAAGCTGCCTGTTAAGTACACGTTGTGTGCTCATTTTTACTTTCATAGATAACCAGAGACAGTTTCTTGGGGTTTGCTGAGCACAAAGCAGAGGTCTTAGAGCTACAGGGCCATGGGGAGACCCTGCTCATCCATACTCATACCCTCACCATGGAGTCCGTGTGATCTGTAGTGGGTTCCTGCTGTAATGCCAGGGTCTCACTCCCTAAAATGGATGGATACAACAATATCAGCCTTGCCTTGGAACCACCCCTTCAACTGAAGAAAACAAAGCGTCTTCCATGGACATGCATAAGAACATTCCTGAGGAAACTTCTCTAGGGGTCAGGTGCTGGATGCTCTCTTGAGTTTTCACCTGGGCAAGGTCACCTATGCCTGACCTCTAGAGCTGTATTGTACCTCCTTTCCTTTTTTCTTTTCTTTTTTTTTTTGAGACAGGGTCTCTCAATATGCCTAGGCTGGCCTTGAACTCAAGATCCTCTGGTCTCTGCCTCCCAAGTGATAGAATTACAGGCATTAGCCACCATACCTGGCCTCCTTCTTTCTCTTTAGGTTTGCTTATGATAAAAAAAAATTACATATTAATAGTATATTTATATATTTAAATATATATATGTATATATATATCAATAAAGAATATTTAAAACTTTTTTTTGTACTGAGGCTAGAACCCAGGCTTTCTGAATTCTAAGCACGTGCTTTACTGAGCACACCCCTAGCCAGGAGTCACATTTTATTTATTTTTTGACTTTCTTTTTGGTGGGAGTGGGGTTTGAATTCAGGGCTTTGAGACTGCAAAGCAGGCAGGATTCACATTTTAGCCACAGTGATACTGTTGGTGAGCCAGGCTTAGGACAGTATTCTTTCTTTCTCTCTCTTCCCACCTGGGAAAGTTACCCATAAGCTTTACCTCCTTTGAAAAAAACACAATGTTTCTGGCCTCTTTGCAAGGTTGTACCTGTTGGCACCAAATGAATGGCACAATGTTTAGATAAGAGAAAGAGAAGCTTCTTCTGATGTTCCTCTGAAATTGTATTGGTCAGACAAAAATCAACACCAAGCTGGGCGTGGTGGTACATTCTGGGGAGGAGGATACAGAGTTCAAGGTCAGCCTGGACTACATAGTGAATTCAAGGTCAGCCTGGGCTACAAAGCAAGACCCTGTCTCAAGAATCAAAATAAAACAAAGAAAAAACTAGTTATCAAATGAGAACGAGAAGCTGTCAGAAATCTTTAGGGCTTTGGTAGACAGCTGCTGCACACCGTGGGCCAGCTGAAGACACACAGCCAGAGCCAAGCCAGGAAGGCCCTCCACTGACTGTGGCATGCAGCTGGATGCTGTCTCTTACCTGGGTTGAGGCCATTGCTCTCCAAAATTGCCAGGCAGTTGTCTTGGAACCTTTCCAGCAGCTCCACCTTCTGAGTCAGATCCTTTAGCTCTCCCTATTGGAGTGTCACAGACAGATCAGGAACTGTCCCCCAAATGGCAGGTGTCCCTTGCTGTGCTGCTGGTCAGGCACACTGTAAGCCTGGCTTCTTTCTCTGTTCCCATCTTGCAGGATTCTGCACCTGTCACCCAGGGAACTTTTACCTGAGTTTCAGTCAACTTCTGGTGCAACTGCTTGTTGACGGCCTCTAAAATCTGGTTCTTATCCTTGAGCTCTTCCTCTGACTTCTGCTTACTCACAGGGTTGTAGCTGTAACAACAGTTGTACTTACATGAATAGGTGGAGGGATTAAGCAGACGAGCTACCAAGTTACTCAAGTGGGTTTGAGTCCTGGCTTCTTGACATAGTGGTATATAACATGAGGCTCTTTCCTTGTTTCTTGAATTAAGATAATATCTATATTTCATAGTATTAGCATGATGAATAAAAGAGAAGACCTATGTGTAATACTCAGCCCAGTTGCTGGTATGTGGTAAACGTCTCACAGCCACTGTCATCACCATCAATAACAAACCATAATTTTGAAGGTCTTGCTTATTATTATTTGACTTCAAGACTTTTTGTTTTTAGCTAGGCACTGATGGTTCACGCCTGTAATCCTAGCTATTTGGGAACTGAGATTGGGAGGATTTTAGTTAGAGGCCCTGAGCAAATAGTTTACAAGACCCCATCTCCAAAATAACCACAGCAAAAAATGGACTGAGGTGTGGTTCAAGCAGTAGAGTGCCCACTTTGCAAGTGTGAAGCCCTGAGTTCAAACCCCAGTCCTTCCCACCCCCCCACACAAGAAAAGCCCATTTGTAGCAGAGCCCAATAAAATGTTCAGACAGACACACAGTTCCATGGTCCTCAATACCCAAATGACATCGAGGGATTCTAAGTCCACAGGTTACAAAAGTCTGGTCTGTCATTAGCATATTGTGCAGACACAGAAAAAAGTATCTAAAAATTCATGTGGTTAGTCTTTAAAAGCCTTAAGTCTTGAGTTCCAACCCCAGTAACACACACATACACACACACAAGAATGAAGACTTTTTTTTCTTTTTTTTGTTGACAGGATCTTATTATGTAGCTCGGGCTGGCTTTAAACTCTCAATCCTCCTGTGTGCTGGGATTGCAGGCATGGGTCACCATACCCAGCTTGTCCTTAAGACTTTTTGTTTCTTTGATTTTTGAGACAGGGTCTCTCTAGGTAGCTCAGGCTGGCCTAGAACTTGTTATGTAGCCCAAGTTGGCTGTGAACTCGATACTTCTGCTTCCATCTTTCAAGTGCTGGGATTATAGACATGCACCACCAAGGCTGTCTTTGTCTTTAATACTTTTAAGACATGCTCACATGATAGATTTGGAATTAGAACCTATGTGTACAGCATTTTCAGCTTACTATTATTTTTGTTTACAGACTGCAAAACTTCCAAATTAGCTTAAAACAGAGATGGGTTTGGGATTTTATCACATCCACCTCTACCACCAGAATATCTCCATTTCACTAACCACACACAGCCCTTCCTATTCCAAAGGCTTCACTCCTGTTGATGGGTCATGGATAGTTTTGGCAAGAAGCCCAAAAGCTCTTGTCTGAGACTCAAGATGGTGAAACCACTGACTCTTTCCCTGATAATGGTTCTCACACCTGGCTGTGTTTATCCCTGACTATTTCATTCAGGAATCAAGGATGGTACCCAGATCATAACACATTAAACAGGTCCCACAATGATTCTGACTTATAACCTGGATTGTGACCCACCACAATTCCCCAGTGCTCACCCCTTTCTGATGTTCCTCTTGATGGCAGTCTCTGCAACTTTCATTTGCCTAGAGAAAGCAGAAACAAAAAATTAAGCAGAGAATCATGGTACTGCTGCACTGTGTTGTGAACAAGGCAAAACAAGGAGCTTGAGTTTCTTTTCTTTGTTTTTGAGACCAGCTCTCACTATGTAGCTCATGCTGGCCTCAATTTTCCAATCCTCCTATCTTAGCCTCCCTAGTGCATGCACTGCCACACCTGGTCTGATGAAAAACATACAAGGCATATAGCACAAACTTGAGGGCCTGAGGGCCATGCACACTGATTTCAGGCAGCCACCAAAAAACAGGATTATTTATAGGAAAGGGTTCTCCTGCTGACCACCCCACACCTCAACTTTTGCTTCCAAATAATGTGGCCACCTCATGTCAACCTGCACTCACCTGGTAAAGGAACATTGGCTAAGGGACACACCTGCATACTACATTTGGGTTGGGCTCTGCTCAGACCAGCAACCTAGGCCAACAACGAGCCCCACTTTCCATGACCACTACTCAGGGCTGGTACTTGGCTATGGCGCTGCCATTGGTAGATTCAAAGCAAGTATGAGAGAGGAAAGAACATCTTTTTCATAACCCTTTGTCTTTTCACACAGGACCAACACGGTGGTCCTGACAAACAGCCTAGCAATGCTGCAGGGCTCTGGGACCCACCTCCAGGCTGTTATTTGGGAGCCTGTGCTCCTCACACCCTATCTTTTCTTCTTGGTACTGAACAATTTCTAGCAAGATCTTCTTCCTTATTTACAGTGCATGCTAGGCAAGTGCTCTACTACTGAGCCACACTCCCAGCTCTAGCAAGACATTCTAACTGGGTACCAACACTCTCACCCATTCTCTCGTCTTGGTTTGGTGGCTTTTGTAATATCATTCTCTGAACTTCCTGAATGAAGATGTCTGGAAACATCAACTTCTTTGGACTTAACAGGTAATTGACTCTTAAAAGTGGCTCGAGTTTGTGGATCTAAAAGGGAAAACAAGAGTGTAAAACCTCAACGGTCATGCTGCCACATGTAAAAGCTGCACGCTGTAACAAACAGCTGCACTCCAAGTTATCATAAGACTTCATTTTCATATAGGTCAATCTCAACTTGTGAAGTTAAGAAGACTTCTGGTCTAAGTGCAATTGAAACCAAAATTCTTTAAATGTGACAGCTGTGTGCTTCATGATGCATCAAACTGGACAGCTGGAAGGAATAAGTTTGCAGAGACTGATATAAGCAAAGAACTAAAGGTAAAGCAGAGTGGAAGTGAGCAGGCAAAACGCCAAATGCCAATGGAACCAATGGTACGATTCCGTAAGCACCTGACACATTCTCCTACAGCAACATGCCAGCTGTTTTTTCTCCCAGTTACTGCCTGTTTTCACCAAAATGTCTTCACAGCCACATCTTTGTGTCCCTTCCACCTAGTACTTGGCATACGACTAGCAGCAGCAGCATAAATGTGTTCATAGCCCTTTGTCTATAAGCCATCTCCTCTGCTCCTCTCCCTCCCAGCTCATCAGTTCTACCTGAAGCCCTTCTGCTTTGTGGATCCCTTGGTAAGTTTTGAGGCTCCCACCTGGTATTCTTCTGATCTCCTTACTGGGCCAGGGCTGGAAAACACCTCCATCATACACTGGCTATCTAGCTTTCTGATTCGATGGTAAATTCAAGTAATTTATTCAGGAGTTACCTCCCATACAGTCAACACAAATATAGACTTTTGTATTGATTTTTTTGGTGGTACTGGGGCTTGGACTCAGGACCTACACCTTGAGCCACTCCACTAGCCCTTTTTTGTGAAGGGTTTTTACGAGATAGGGTCCGTGAACTATTTGCCCAGGCTGGCTTCGAACTGCGATCCTCCTGATCTCTGCCTCCTGAGTAGCTAGGATTATAGGAATGAGCCACTGGCACCTGGCCTACTTCTTTTTCTTTTTTTGGTGGTACTGACATCTGAACTCAGGGTTTATACTTGCAAGAGCTCTACCACTTGAGCCATGCCTCCAGCCCTCTTTTTTGGAGCTGGGAATCAAACCAAGGGCCCTGCATGAGCCAGGAAAGCACTCTACACTGAGCTTCATTCCCTAGAGCCCAGACTTTTCTGGATTATACTAACTACACTCTTCATTGTAAAATGGATGGTTTTAAGCATGATCTAAGAGTCATAATAATTAAATCAAGTTGAAGAAAGGAGGCATAAAGTACTGGATCATATTGATTGGGAAATTTTGTATTAAATAAATTTGACTTGAATCATTTTTTGACGGTACTGGCATTCAAACTCAAGGCCTCAAGCTTGCTAGGCAGACAATCTGCCACCTGAGCCCCAGCCCCAGTCCTTGCATAACTCTTGCTGCACAACAGTTGGGAGTAAGTATGACCTTTCAGGAATTTATAAGCACATTTACTGGCATTCTATTTTCAATATTCATAATACTAAGCATATATTAAATGGGTTCTTCTTAAAGTGTCTGTGTGAAGCAAAAAGCAATCTATACTGATCTTGTTCTATCTCAAGTATTAATAAGTTAATACAGTAACAAATCTAGTCCATGTAAGAGTTGATAGTAAACTGGGGAAAAAAATGAACACTTCATTGATCGGAATCAGTTCCAATAATCCACACTTACTGGAATCAAAGGATTGCATCGTAGGAAAAATTTGGTAGGATTTAACAATGATGATTTCCTAAAAACAGAACTGGATGGCTGGTGAAGGAAACTTGCTTTTCACTGTAAGCCATTTTCCATCTTTTCTTTTCTATGCTCAAATCTGAATGATTTTTAAGGTTGACACACATCCTAAAAAACTTTTAAATTGTTGCAGTTACAAGTCATCACAGAGATGACAACTTGTGTCTTGGCTGGGAGAGCAGTCACTGTGGACTGACTCAGGGGCACTGAATGTGAGGGAAAGACAGCAGGACAGGGTGGGGAGACCTAGCTCCACTCCTCCCCAACATCTTCTACCTGCAGATGTCAGGATTACTATTCAGGTGTTCCTAGGCAAAACAAGACAGAGAACAACCCTTTAATGCCTTTGGAGAAAAGCCTATTTAACTTCAGAGCTCAAACCTGCCACTGTTGTTCAGCCGGCTGCATGGAATCATCTGGAAGGGATCATGGATATCTGCTCCATAATCCCCACAACAGTTTTCTGGTGCCTGGAGCTCATTCTATGCTATAATCCCCTAGATTAGGCAGCTTAACCACTACAGACCCTATGAGATGACTTTTAACCACAATCAAAACAACACACGGCAAGAAGACAGAGCGATTAAATATTGTTTTTAGTCATGGCTCTCTCCTCTCCAAGTTTCTCAAATACCCTGGCTAGGCTTGAGCCCTCTCCCATTGCACCCGCCATTTACTAGAATGTCTAACGACAGCCACAGTGCAGGTATCAAAGTGAACAAGGCACTCTTTCTTCAAGCGCCCCACTTCTCAAATGACTCCCCTCCCCATCAACAAATTCAGATCTACGAGAGATCCCAGATCTGGAAATAAAACGGGTAAGTGCATACAAAGCGACTCCTAGCTTAATTATGACAGTGATGCAGTGCAACACTTAGCCCTCCCTGGCCGGGGGCCCCCCAATTCCCAGCCTCCGCATCGGGTCCCTACACTTCCGGCCTGGGTCCCCAGTCGGGGTGGCGTGCACACCCACCTGCGGGCGCAGAGGGGGGCTGCACGCTGTACACTGTCTTAACCACACTGGTCATCGTAACTAGGCGGCACGGCTGGACCCTGGAAAGTGAAAGGCGAATATTAACAGCGCCGGGGCCCGGGGCCCGCGCAGGTGGAAGGCCGAGGAAGAGCACGACCGGCCGGCCAGGCTCGGCGTCCGCAAAGAAACGACCCCACTCCCAGAGGTTCCAGTTCGCCCCAAATCCAGCCCTGTCCCTGCCCCGGGAGAGCCGAACCCAGACGTCCGCTGCTCCGGCCCGCAGTCCTGGTCGCTTTGGTTCAAAAGAGGCTTGGCTGCAACCGCCGAGGCGTCGTCCGGGTCTGCCGCCTCGGATTCAAACGAAAACTTCCGGTAGCTGGGCGGAAGTGAGTGCGGTTTGTCGTCTGTGGGCGGCCCTGTTGTACGGCAGACTGTCCTGCGAGCCGCGGCTTTGGGTGCCGCCATGTTGTACGGAAGGATTGAGCGGAGCAGTCCGAACTTCCCGGGCTAAGCCGGGCTGGGGCGCACTTGTGGGGCCTGAATGGAGCTAATGAGCCGCGCGGTCATATTCGCGGCTGTGGGCGCACGCGTGGCCACGTTTAGCGTCCATGTCACAATCCTCTTTATATGGGCTGGGATTGTTAGGCATACTGCCAGGAGCACAGGTTATTTCGATAAATACTACAAGTTACATGGTGAGAGTGGCAGGGCAGGTTGAAGAAGATGGCCCGTGGACTGGACTGAAATACCTAACGCACCTTCCTGCGGTCTTAGTTCTTATTAGCACACATTCGGATTTAATTAGAAATTCAATGGAACTCCTACTAAACAGGACAGAATTCCCAATCGCTTCATCATGATGCTCACCTATTCATTACGTTCTGGGCACTTTAATTGGTGTGTGGAGGGGGTTTGGGTTCTACCACTTGGCTCTTCCCTAACGCCCATCATAAACCTAGACAACGTGGTTCCAGGGACCTACCCGGCTGTCAAGAGTCAACGGAATGCGCCCCTTCCCGTGCCCCCATTCCCAGCCCTCGATCAGATCCCTGCTCTGGGGAGTGAGGGAGAGTAAATGTCATGACTGATCTCGACTCTGCCCTCCTGGGGTTACAGTCTAGAAAACAGTAACCAGATAATCGCACAAATATATGTTTTCCCCAATTGTAAAACTATGACGGATGCTATGAGACAGAAAACAATTTAAACTGAAAGGTCAGTGAGAAGTCATTTTTGATTCAGGAAGAATGAAAGGGAGTTAATCACATGAACAGTGGAGGAGAAGGAGAAGTGCAAAGTTCCAGGGCAGATAGGGGTTTTTCTGTAGATAAAGCTGGGGAGATAAGAAGTAAAATGGCAGCCTTTGTAGGCCAAGGCAAAGAGATTAAATTTTATCTTAAGAGTAATGGAAAGTCAGTGAAGCATATGGCAGAAGAATGTGTCAAGCGCACACACACACACACATATGGATACATATTTATAGTGGTAGTAGTGGGAATTGAGCTCAGGGCCTCAGTAAGCACTGTACCACTTGAGCCACACCCCAGACCCGGATTTATATATTTTAAAAGCTTACTTTGGGACACTGTGCTCATGCTTACTGCAGGGGAAAGGAGGACTATGGCAGGAAACCACGAAATTACCCAGAAGGAAATTAAGGAGGAGGAAAAGCCAGTCCATTGTGAGAAGACATCCAGGATGCTGTACGGGTCTTCACCACCAAGGGCAGCCACCACTGATGGACCAGCCCTCCCGCAGAAACGAACCCATCCATCCAGCTGCAGATCAACACTTCAATGGATGCAACCTTGACACAACTGAGTAGTTTAGTAAAGGAAGTCTAGCTAGAAGCTTCAATTTTGCAATTGGTTTTTATGAATTTTGCAAAACCTGGTTATGGAGTTGAGATTGGCAGTACCATGTCTGGCAGGAGGAGACAGTGATTCTTTGGCCTTGCAGTCACAGTAGTTCCAAATGGCCAATTATTGGGACATAGCAATTACCCCTCCAAATCGGGCACCACCTCCATATTAAATCCTATTTACTCTCTTGAATTTATTTTTCATTCAGTTATGTAAAATAAGCTTACATATTCTTTTTCCTCAAATAAATAAATAAAAAGTTTACTCTGGCCACTCCACTAGAGACGGCAGACAATTGGAAGGGTGTGGCTGAGTGAGAGATGATGGTGGCTGGACCACGATGGTAGTGGTGATGAGATGGAGAAAAGCAGGGACATAGATGAAAGCTCTGGAGGTAAGTCTCAGGACAAGACTGGGTGTAAGGAAAGGAAGGAGAAGAGAGAGAGGAATGCTGTGGGTGATCCAGGCTTCAATAATTGTGTGGATAGAGTCACTGATCTGTAGGGAGTGGGAGGAATTGAAAGTTCGCTTTTGAACATGGTAAACTTGAAATGCCTTTGAGATATTCCAGCAAAGTGATCAAGTAGGAGGTTGGAGCCCAAAGTAGAGTCTGGGTTGAAGATAAATGCTTGGTTCTCCACACCCTCAGGATATGCATTCAGCCAAACATAGGTTAAAATATTTGGAAAAAAATTGAATGTGTACTGAACTCTTTTTTTTTTGTCATTATTTCCTAAACTAGATAGTATAACAACCAGGTGCTGATGGCTCATGCCTATAATCCTAGCTACTCAGGAGGTAGAGATCAGGAGAATTCAGGTTCAAAGCCACTGATGCCCACCCTGCAGTATTCCTTCTTGAACCTCCCCACCCTATCTTCTGGAGGGTGCACTTTTGCTCTCCTTTCACTTTGCTTTGCATTAATAAATCTGCTTAAGTTTCCTCTGTGTTTATCCTTGAATCCTTTCTCCAATGAAACCAAGAATTTTTGGACCCCAGACCTGAATTTGGTAGCAGAATCACTCTCCTGCAGATACCAAGGGGTAACCATACTTTGAGGATCTATTGGTATATGGGTGTGTGTAAAGCCATGAAACTTGATGACATCATCAAGAAAAGTATAGAGTGAGCCTTAGAGCCAAGGACAGGAACTCAGTATTTAGAAATTGCAATGATAGGAAGGTGCCTGTTGGGCTGGAGTGGCTCAAGTGGTAGAGTACCTAACTACCAAGTATGAGGCCCTGAGTTCAAATCCTAGTACTGCCAAAAAGAAAAAAAAAGTAATTGAAAGAGCAAGCAAGATGAGAACCGAGAAGTTTCCATTTCTTTAGCAACAAAGAAGTCATTGATGAATCAAGCAAGGGAATCCTGGTGGAGACTTTGGATAGTAGAAGCCATATTGAAGGACATCTATGAGAGAGAGGAGGCAATGACAGCCTAAATGGAGTAGAGCAGGAGGTGGGTTGTGGGGCCAGAGGAGGGTTTCTGTGAGACAAAGGCGCTGGTGGATGCATGTGCTGATGGGAACATACCAGCTGAGAAGAGGAAAAGAATGCTTTGGCTCTCGCTCCAGAGATAGTCAAAGGGCAGGGATGGGGTTTGGGTGGGGTAGGAGAAAGATGGAGCCTAGAGCATCTTCTAATGCCTTTGTTCATGGGTATTCACAAAATAACTTAAGAAATGATGCACCTTTTCCTCTGTTTTTAGTTCATGGCTAATTTTTTTCATAACTTTAGGTATTTGAGGCTGGGTGTGGTGACTCACACCTGTAATCCTAGCTACTGAGGAGGCAGAGATCAAGAGGAACTTGGTTCAAAGCCAGCCTGGGCAAATAGTTCCTGAGACCCTATCTCGAAAACACCCTTCACAAAAAGGGGCTGGTGGAGTGGCTCAAGGTGTAGGCTCTGAGTTCAAGCCCCAGTACTGCAAAAAACAAAAGCAAAACAAAGTTTTAGATATTTGTAAGGGACATACTTTCTTCTGTTGTATATTGTATATGCTTTTTATTCATTTATACAATTCTATTCTCTCTTGCTTCATTTTGTGTAATTTCTGCTGCTATGTCTTCACGGTGGGGGGTAGGGTGGGTAGTGCTGGGGATGGAACCCAGATCCTAGCTCATGCTAGGTGAGCGCTCTACCACTAAGCTACAGCCATGCTCGCTATTGCTATGTCTTCATGTTTACTTTTCTCCCTGCAATGTCTAAACTGTTGTCAATCCCATCCAACTATTTATTTCATCTCAGACATTTTAGTTGTCACCCTGAGTTCAAGGTAAGCTTTTTTTTTTTGTTTTTTTAATTATTTGTTTATTTATTTTGCAGTACTGGGAGTTGAACTCAGGACCTTCTGCTTGGCAGGCACTCACTCTACCACTTGAGCCACTCCGCCAGGCCTCTTTGTGTTGGTTATTTTTGAGATAGGGTCTTGCTTTACACCCAGGCTGGCCTCTGTGCAATGCTTCTATTTGCTCTTAGCTGGGGATGAGGGGCATGCGTCACCATGCCCTGCAATTGGTTGAGATGGGGTCTCAAGAACCTTTTTGTCCAGGCTGGCCTCAAACTGTGATCCTCTCAATCTCCATCTCCCAAGTAGCTAGGATTACAGCCTCCATGCCCAACTTCAAGGTGGTATTTTTGTCTTTCAAGTCTCTACTTAGAATATTTGAGAAAGTTACAACTGTTTTAATTTCCTTGTTCAGTTCTCACATTGGTGTCAGTTCTGGCTTGGTTTCAGTTGATTTTTCTTCTCAGTGTACGTCACATATTCCATGACTGGTAATTTTTTTGTTAGCAACCCTAGATATTGTGAATTTTATATTTTGGGGTGTTGGTTGGTTTTGGGTTTCTGTAAACATTCATGAGTTTTGTTTTGGGATGTAGTTAAGTTACATAGGAAGAGTATTTTCCCTTCCTGTACTTGCTTTTAAGGTTTGTTAGGTGTAGGGTTGCAGGTACAGAGTGTATGCTTAGCATGAGCAAAATCCCCAGCACCCAAAAAAAAAAAAAAAGATGTATAAGGTGGTTAGATGGGAGAGTGGTGGTACTGGGACTTGGGCCTCCCCTTGCTAGGCAGGTGCTCTATCACTTGAGCCATACGCCCAGCCCCTAAGCAGTGTTTAAACGAAGGCTCAGGCGCGACCCTTCCGAGGAACTCTAAGCGCCATAAAGTCTGAGGTTATTCCCTCTGGCTGATGATCACAGCCCTCTTCAGGCTTGCACCACTGCTGCTACTGGTTCCTCTCATTGTTTTGGGTGGTTCTTTCCTCCACTTCAGTTAGTTTCCTTACACTTAGATGAGGGGCTGTGTGCTGCTGAACACTCCAGGGGGGTCTTTTGTTCTCAGTACTCTCTTCTGAGTGTGAGTCATCTGGTTTGCCCCAAACTGGGAGCTGCTCCCTGGGGCTCAGTTTTTTTTTTTGCTTTTTTTTTGGTGGTACTGAAGTTTGAACTCAGGGCTTCACCCTTGCTAAGCAAGTGCTCCACCACTTGAGCCACTTCTCCAGCCCTCCCCAGACTCAGGAATCCTCATGGCTTTGCCTGGTCTTCCTTCTCTGCACTATATCCTGGAAATTCTCATCAGTAAGTTGGGCAATTGGAACAG